ACAGAGGCAGGCCCTGATATAGGACAGCTATTGGATTCCATTCTCCGGCACCATGATTGGTCAAGCCACCCATGTGGTTCTGGCAAGCCGAAAAAGAGTGCACTCTTAAGTTATAGAGCTAACAGCAAATCAGAGGCTGCCGGGGAAGCAGCTTGACTACAGAACAGAGCATGAGAGAAGCAGAACAGAGCTACAAGGATCAAGTGATTTCTGAGAGCACCATATTCATCCCTGAATCTAGCCATGCCTGACCATTAATTCCCACTTTTGCTTAAGCTGTCTGAAATTAGTCCTGGGACCTCACCTCCAATAACCCAGAGTCCTGATTAAACCAGAGAGTCCAGGCCAAAGCCTAGGCAGACCGCAGAGGATGTTGATTCCCCCCCCCCCAGGTGGCTTTCTCATGGCAACTGAGACTTGTGTCTCTTTATTGACATCCGTCTTAAATCTTGGCTTCAGAGCTGAATACACTCCTGTTCACCCCTTTTTCTACAGGAAAGTTTCCTATAGGAACAGGAAGTAGGTTGCCTCCACAGAGACCAGTAGCAACGGCATGATGGCCAGACCGGAGACCAATTCTTGCTGATTTCAGAACATATCTATGGGTTAACCCTAAACCTAGATCGGGCTCAATGACCTGGGAATTCTTACACTTTAAATGCAAATGGGAAACTGGTCTGCAAAGGCTCAATTTGGGTCTAGCAGGAGATTGTGACCTGACACCTTAAAGATAAGGTACTGTGTTGTACTGAGCACTGTACATCTGGGCTCATTCCTGTTTCCCCCAAATCCCGTGTGGCATGTGCCATCATTATCCCATTTCACAGATGAGGAGAAGACACTCAGAATGGCTTAGAATTACTCAAGGTCACATGGTCAGTGAGTTGCAGAGGCTGGATGAGATTCCAGTCTAGGGTACTCTAAACCCTGGCCCTTATGCTGAGAAAGTGAAATGCGTTGGGCTGGCCCTGGGGGAAATCATTATAGTATCAGAGGTTCAGGAGGGGCTGTTTTGAACAATCACCAGGAAACAAAGAACATTGAACTTGGAATTAGACTGTGCAGGGCTAACATCCTGGTTTCACCACCTTCTTCCTCTGTGTTCTTGGACATACATATCTCTTTAACCCTCTAAGTCTCAGTTTTCTGTGCTGTCAAGCAGGGCTAATAATCCTAGACGTCTCCAAATACAGCTGCTCTGCCCTTAAACATGAATGCTGCTCCTTGCATCAAGAGCAGGACTCTATCTCCTTCTCCCTGAATCGGGGCTGGATTTGGGACTTGCTGGTGCCAAAAGAATCAGGAGGAGGCGTCATTCTCAAACTTCCAAGAGCCAACCTAACATTTCTGTTTTGTCTGTCGGGGATCGCAGCCCCCACACTTTAAGGAAGCCCAGCCTGGACTGGGGAATGACTAGAGGCTCAGCTTGGATGTTCAAGCTCTGTCCAAACTCCCAACTAAATGCAGCCTCATGAAAAACTCTAAGCAAGACCAGCAAAGCAACCTGCTCAGCTGAACCCCAGCCAAGCCACAGAATTGTAAGAAATAATAAATATTGTTATTTTAAGTCATTACTTTGGGGGATGATTTGTTATGCAGCAATAGATAACTGACATATTTACGTACCTCACTAGTCGTGGGGAGGATTAAACAGGCTAATGTGTTTAAAAGCAAGAACACCTGGGGCTGAATCTGACATCACGTATTCAGCCTGTGATTATTGGGCAAGTGCTTCATGCCCAACGCTGCTCAAGGTTAATCGGGACACTGAGGGGAGCGAGACAAAGTCCCCACCCTCCTGGAGCTTTCACTGTAAGAGAGGAACGACAGACCATCAAAGTAAGGCAGCGTCAAGTACCAATGACTGCTGGGGAGATGCGGCCTGAACACACTCTTGTTTTGGGTGCCGCTCATTTTCCTTGGTTCAGGAATTCCAGGGAAAGGAAGCAGGTAGGAAAGTGGAGACTGAGACTAAAATAGTGGACCTATTTTAGACCATGTGGTCAGAAGGGCCCCTTCTGCTTGAGGAGTCTGGGTAGATATCTGGGTGCTGAGGAGTCAGCCACGCTGTCCCCGCACACCCCGGATTCCCATAGACATCTAGCTCCATGGGCATCTTAATGACCTGTTTTTATCTATGCTAACTGAGCACATTCGCAGGTGGATCCTCCCTGGTTTGGGCAGTGGTTGAGGCCCAGAAGGTGCTCAGGGAGCATTTGTTGACTGTGTGAACGCATGTCCTGGGTGAAACCAGGTCGGCCCCCCTCCACCACCATCACAGTCACAGTCACTGAGCTGAGAAGGAGGCCCAAGTGTAGCTGCCACCCCTGCAGGAGACTGTAGAACGCCTTCCAGCCCCTTCTGCACGCGATGCCCCTCCTGTCGGGAACCTCCCTGCTTGACCTGGGAAACCCTGCTTTCTTGGAACCAGTTGCTGGGAACAGCCATCCACCTCACTAGGTGGAAAGTTCTAGAACATCATCAGAAGGAGACATACACCCACACTTCGCTTCAAGCCGAACCTCCCACTGAGGTACGAGAGGGGGACGTAAGAGCTGTCTACCCTTCGCCTGGTTGCCAGACAGTAGGTTCCAGAAAGGACTTGGCAGGAAGGAAGCCTGATGGACAGGGGACTCTACCCAGCAGGACAGAGGCTACCTTCTCCTCTCCAGCCCAGACACCACCTCACTGGGCCCACTAGAAACAACAGCCCCTTCTGCCTCGTGAAAAATACCATCACTGAAGTCAAAGAAATCACCGTGGTGTACGCGGCCACCAGGCAATGGGTGGGCTCCCTCTGCCCTTCCTGCCAAACCCTTCTTTATTGTCCACCAGACCAGACAGCAACAGGGCAACTTGGGCTCCACATTCCACAAAGGGGCCGTTGGGATTTGCCACTCTGGGAGAGAGAGCCGGCGGGCCTTCCCCGTGGAGCCCTCTCTCTCCTCGCCTCTCCTCCAGCTGCTGCTGGTTCAAGCCGCTGCCTGCCCCAGCTAATAATGCCTTGTCACGCAGTGACAGAATTATGGTCTCACACTGGTTTCACATGTCACAAATAATTGCGCTCATTGCGCATCATATTGAAGTTGTCAGGACTCTCTTACGCCTATAATTTGTGTGAGTTGATCATACTTTGGTAAATCAGCAGGTCATGACCTGTGCCCTTTAGCCCCAGTGGCTGGCTGAGAATGACCTACAAATCTCGTGACAGGGACAACAGAGAGGGTATGAACTGTTCAATTGCTCGTGTCTGTCAGCTGCCACAGAGAAAGCCTGCTGCTCTTCCCTCTCGCCATCCCTTTAAACCGTCAAACATGGCACCCCCTGTCAGCCCGACTTAATTTCTTCACATATGGTCTCTTTTCCCCCTAGATTTTTTTTAAGCACTTTTGGATATTTCTCTCTCTCTCTTTCTCTCTCTCTCTCGTTTTTTTTTTCCCTTTACCACAAGACATGTTGGTGCCAAACCCAAGTGTCTTTCTTCCATGTGTTTCAAATAAAAACCTCCAGCGTCTGTGATAAAGTGGAGAGACCTCACTCTCTGCGTCCAGCCCTACCCAACAGTGCTTGTCGCAATGGCTAAGTCCCGCTGGCAGCTTTATGAGCTCCTCTGCTAGCACTTTATTGGGTAACACGTTCACAAATAGGGTTCCCCGGCCTTTGTTTTCATTAAGGGACAACGTGTACCATCAAGTTGCATTTAATTCACTGCTTTGTATTTCACACACAGTATCACTGACCAAGGCCTTGGGTGTCTACACTGGAAAGGGGGTAATGAAGTTCAAGCTGCTTTTATTACCCTAGACCTTCGATAACTCATTTTTTTTTTAAAGTCCACGGAGAAGAAGAAAGATGACCAGGTCCTGGCCAGATGGATGTTCTTCAGATACACTGGAGGGAGGCCAGGGATAGAAGGGTTTGGTGGGGTCTGTTGTAAGTGCCCAGAGAGTAGTAAGCGTGTTCCTTGGTTTAAGGAGGAGAAGATGGCACATGGATGTCCATGCCGGTGGCTTCCGGCTCCTTGGCAAGCTACCACCCCTGCAGAGAGGCCCCAGTGGGTTTTGCAATCCTGAAAGCAGATGGCAACATCCAGCTGCTGATCCAACAGGCTGGGAAGTGAGGGGACCCATCCCTTCCAGCTAGGCACTGGGTGGACCGGAAGCCAGGCAAGCCTCTCACTCACCCCACACGCGTGGGGCTCTGAGCTTCACATCTGAAGGCATCAGCCAAGCAGACGTGAACTGAGGATGAGACAGGAACACACAAACAGTCCAGAATTGCTTCAGAGAACACAAAGCCAAGCTCAGTGGTCTTGGTCCCTTTCCCATACCGCTCCTGGTTCACAGGCACAGACCCATGGTGACTCTCGGAACTGGTAGGCATTTTACTTTAGGTGCAATTTACAAACAGCTAGTCACCAGATTAGAGCAGGGAGGCGGGTGGGAATTGGGGTGGTGTCCTGGCCATACTAAACTTCCACAGGGCCCACCTGGAAGGCAAGTGCAGTGAGGAAGGAATGGTTATGTGCTCCAGGTTTACCCTCCAGCTCTCTTTGCTGAAAGAATTTAATGGAAAAGTCAGACAGATGGGGATTAAAAACCACAGGACCACCACTAACTAGCCTGGCAGCATTGGCAAGTCACCGAAACCCTCTGGGCCTCAGTGTCCTCACCTGTAAAGTACTCAGCACATAGTAGTGGCTGAGTGAGCACATCTTAATTTTTTCTCAATCTAGGTTCTTTTTTATAAGCAAAGTCACCTGACAGCTAACTGAAGAAGACTTTCTCAAAGAATTTACAAGAAAATAAAATGTTGGGTAGCCTACAGGGTTCCCAGGAAGGCTGAAGAGCAAAGGACATAGTAGCAGTCAGACTTTGCACACTGTCTGGTTACCACGTGACTTTGCACATTATTGCCACCACTGGCCATAGAACCCCTCTGGACTCCAGACTTCCATGAGCCTCTGCTTCACTCTCTCTCCAAGTTCAGAGTCCAAGGCAGCATCACTGATTAGCCAACCCCAGGTCACAAGCAGTGCTGGAGAACGGGGAAGGAGAGCACTTCAGGAACCTTAGAGCAGGCCTGTGGCATGGTGAAGTTCTCCGTCAGGTAGTCTCTCCACTCTCATGATTAACATGGGGCTGGGGAGGCAGAGGAACAGCTTTTATTCTCAACCACTTTTAAATAGTCCATTTTTCTTTTTTGCTTCCTTTTCAACAAAGGGGAAGGGAGAACTTTCTTTCCGTAGCCTGTTCCACTTGTCCAAGCCACGCAGCATACAATTGACACTGTTTAGAATGAAAGCACATATATTTCAGTTCCTAATTAGTTGTGCCTGTAACAGCTCATGGAGGGACTATGACAAAATTCAGGGAATGGAATAAAGCCATGGCTTACCATAGGAGCAGTGAACACTGGCTACCAAGTGCAATGTCCTTTGACTTCCAGGTCTATCACTGTTGAGGAAGAACTCTGAAGACGGACCTTGGCTGGTGAAGCAAGATGGTGGCTTGGTCAAGTCCATGGATAAGGAAAGAATGAAAATCACATTCTAGAAGATTCAGTCACACTATTATTGCATGGTCATATTGTAGGCAGTAGGTTAAGTGTTATAGTTGGCACTATTTTGCTTAGCGTTGTAAACAGGTTGGTGAGCTGTTTGCATCCACATTTTACAAATAAGGAAGTCAAGGACACACAGAATAATGAATATTGCACAAAACTGGGTCTTGGAGCTTTTCTTTCAAAGTGGGATGTGTCCACAGATGTCCCTGGGTGGCAGCGGCACGTAAACATGACAAAGGAATCCCAGGGCACAATATCATGGATATTTAAGAAATGCCTGGTGATCTCATAATCTCCACCAGTGCATTGTTTGAGTTGAGGGATTGGGAGGAAAAAATGCCGAGAAATATTTCATGATCTGGAAACTTTCAGCTCCTTTAATATGAAAATGTTCAACATGAAGTATTAAAGATGTAAGGATTCAGAGGTTGCAGGAGGCCAAGGAAGATTAAGAGATTCTTTCCTCCAAATCAAGTGCATAGTGTATCCATTATGGGGCATGGAGAGTCCCCTCCCCTCCCCCATCCTCTCCACTTAATGGGAAAATGTTGAAAACTTTGAAGAAATGCTTTCTTTGTTCTTTAAGTTCCATGATTAATTAGGTATAAGCCATGTTTCAAAACGTTTCGTCATTTATTTGTAATTCTCCCCAGAGCGTGTACAGTAACTTGGCTCAGAACACACAGATTACATTGCAAATGCTGCTCATATGCTGAAACTTTTTGTTTCCTTCCCGTCTCTTCTTTCCCCTACAATACTTGAGTGGAAGAACAAAGCTGGATTTCAGTTGGAGAGTGCACTCTGCTCTGTATGGATTTCCCTATCGGTAACCTCCAGAAGGGGACTGTAACAGGAAGCATTCGGTGGTCGGCCTCATAACCACACTCAAGGCGGAGACACCAGGGTTGCTCTAGCCCCGGGATCTCTGCACCAGTCAAGCAAGGACGTGCATTTGCTTCAAGTCCCTCTTCATCTCTGCATCTCCACTGACAGTGGCCCCGGGAGTGGTAACCAAGCATCAGGTGGTGAGCAAGGGAGTGTAGTGGTAAACATGTGCTGCCAACTGAGGAGTCTGGCTCAGCTTTCAGAGTGTCACTCCTCTTTTCTATAAAGTGAGGATGACAGTGGTCTCTAGGCCAATTGGGTCACTTGTAGGACTAAATACGATGTAGCACTGTGCTTCCTTCGGATATATCCTCTACTCTATTCTATGTCCTCTAGTAACTTGTGATACCTATGGTTTTCAGCGTGGCCCTCAACAGCCACAGCACATTCCCACTCATTCCTGGGTTGGGCAACTTAGGACAGTTCTTGGTGCAGTGAGTTTGAATCTGCCCAATGAAATTGGATCAATTGGATAAGACCCCAATTACAAGCAATCTCTCTTTCTCTCTCTCTCTCTCTCTCTCTCACACACACACACACACACACACACACACACAGTGGCCTCAGGGTACAATTCCCACAGAAGAAGTTTTCTGACTCCAGGACAGAGGCTGTCCCTTCTTGCCTTCTCTCAGGCCCCCTGACTTGCTCTCCCTGCAGCCCCTCACTGCGGAATTTCTTTGCTTCTTCGTCTTTAACTTCACTCTCCTCAAAAAGAAAGAATACTCCTCCAATGCTCAGGGCAGACCCGCCCCCTGCTCCAGCGCTCCCTTCACTACCATTAGAGCTGACTGGACCTTCGGTCACTCTGAGCTACACGGTATGCAGTCAAGGCTGAGGCCCGGGGTCAGTAACCTTCCTCTCCCTGGGGGCTGAGAGAGTGCTGAACTGAACTGCTACCTGGACGGGGTTCCTGGGGTGCAGTAACAAGGTACCACCAAATGGTGACTTCGACACCAGAAGGGATTGGTTCGTGGTTCTGGGGTCTGGGAGATCAAGGGCAAGGTGTCAGCAGGGTGGTTCCTCCCAAGGCTCCTCTGGGGCTTGCCAGCCATCTTTGGTGTTCCATAGTTAGCGGAAGGCATCGCCTCTCTCTGTCTCCTCACGGCCCACTCCCTGCGTGCAAGTCTGTGTGTCCAATTTGCCCTTCGTACCAGGACACAACTATTTAGATGAACTCATCTTAACTTGGTCATCCCCCTCTCCACACCCTGAAGACCCTACTTCCAAGTAAGGCTGTATCCACAGGTACTGGGGAGTAGGACTTAGACATCTTTTTTCTAGAAGGGTGGGGGCCGGGGACTGGAGGACAGATGTTATTCAGTACACGACACTAGGAGCAGCCAGTGGGGAATAGCCCTAAGGAGTCAGAGGCTAAGTCAGCCAGAATTCTGCACGAACAAGTTCTCGAGCCCCATCATAATCATCTGTAAATCCTTAAGACAAAATTTTAAAAGAAGAATGATTCTGGGGCTGGGGCTGTAGTTCAGTGGTAGAGCACTTCCTTGCCTGTGTGAGGCACTGGTTTCAATCCTTAGCACCACATAAAAATAAAGAGATAAACAAAGATATTATGTCCATCTACAACAACAAAAAATAAAAAATAATTAACATTACTTAAAACAAAACAAAACAAAAAAAAAAACAATGATTCTGGAGGTGGGAAAGATAGAGCCAGTGGGACCCAGGCATATTTTTTTAAAGGTCCAGACAGGTTGAGGTTCACTGCATCATACTAAACACAAAAACGACCCACTTGGTTTCCCTGTTCCGGCCTGAGAGGCATTTCTTACTTGAGAACTTTTAGGGTTACTCAGGATGTTTGAATGACTCTTAAAACTTGAGAGTGACCTCTTCTATAGAATTCTATAAAGAATACAGAATGTTAGAATTCTCCAGATGGTTGGGATTAAGGGAAAACAGAGTCTTTCCTAAAGTACATAGCTATAGCCCTAATGTCTGTGTACTCCGGTAGGACCAACTCATCCTGCCAAACAGAGAAGTAGAGGCTGAGGCTTCAGTCCCACATGGTTGTAAATGTTTTGAGATGCAAGAAGGGAAGATGTCATAGGCCATGAAGACAGCATCTCTGTGAGTGGCATCCCGGGCCCATCCTCAATCTGGCTGGCTGGTCAGTGTGGACATGGAGATACGGACGTCTTGTGTTTGGACCAGGGAAAGCATCACCTATCTCTTGCTTCACAGGGAAAAGTGTGGTATGTGGGGAAATGCAGAAATGAGCAAGCCCCAGCCCAGGCACTGGGTAAAGACAGAGGAACACTGGTAACAATGATACGTCACATTTCCACGAGCACACCGTGCATCTGATCGTCGCCGTGACAGCGTCCCTATTACTGTTAAATGTTCATGCCAATTTTCTACATGCCAAAATTTAATCCGGAATATTCAGCTACTCGGGTGATGGCATTCTTCTTTGCGTCCTAGAAGTAAAGAACACACAGCAGATTCTTTGGAAATTAAATATGCCTTTATTCGCAAATATTTCATTAAAGAGCCCGGAAGGACAAAAGATGCCTAAACTGGCAGTTCAGTCTTTGCCGTCTGAGAACAAGTTCTTAGAAACTCCAAGAAATGGGCACGGGGCTGCATCAAGGGACTGGGAAATTACTCATTCTGATAAAATTCCATTTTCTTATTTCGGAGGGAACTGGGGAGATGGTGTCCAAGAAAACAGGACATTCCATTGGGACTAGCTGCATGGTGAGTTGCAACGTCTACCCACCGCGGGATGTCAGTGATACCCACAGCCATCCTCCCTGCAGCACTTGTGATAACAAAACAATAATTTATCAATGGCCACAAGTTTGGCCTCTCACCCTGGTCAGATCATAGTGGGTCCGGCAGAAAGGGGAGGGAGGCCCAAGCTTTGCCTGGATAATGGGAGGTTAGGGAGTGAGGAGCCCTCTTCTGCCAAGAAGTTAATCTCCAGTATTTATTTGGGTGCAAACGAAAGTAGAATAATGGGGAAGGAGGTCCTCCATGTAAGAGAAACTCCAAAGCTTTACAGACTGAATTAGGTGTAATCCTTATGGGATCCCTAACAGCTCATAAATAACTTTTAATGAGATTTCCAGTGAGTCAAATAGCACATGGGGGCAAAAAAAAAAAAAAGTCTTCTTTTCTATTTTTGATATTTTGTTTTCCATAAAGCACATACTCCATAGCATTGTTTTCCAAAGCCATAACCAAAAGAAGGGAAACCATTTCAATAAGAGGAGATTAGTACTGAAAATATTTAATTAACTGATAGGGACAGGAAACACTCGAACATGTCATTGGACGTACTTGACATTGACCACTAATCTATGGGAACTCCGAGAGCTGAGTCTCCAGCATGTTCCGGAGTTAAGCAGAGAAATAAATCAAGGTTTGTAAATGTCATTTAGGTTTTCACCTGTCCCACGATTCAAAATTATTGGCTTCCCAATGAAAAGCACATGTTGTGTCCCCTGCCGGGGGAGCAGTAATGAAGTGAGGCGGACACTCTCCAGCCCTCCCTCCCATCGTGCCCCTCTTTATTTCCCATCGAGTGAAAATAATTACTGTGTCCTTAAGGGAGCGCTTCCCTGCGTCTGGTCCACCGGTCAGCACTGCCAGGCTGCTCCTCCAGCCCTGCCCCTCTTCCTTGTGGGACCTCGGTTTGATTTATGAGAAAATAGTTGGCAAATTGCAGTGTCCATCTTGATGGATGACATCATTTGGACCATTTTGCTGATCATGTATGACTACCTTTTTGTGTGTGTGTTTAGCCTGGTTGCAATTGATCCGCAGCTCCAACAGCTGAAGAAGGAAGGGGCGGGTAGCAATTGCCTGTTCTTGGAGAGGCCACCAAGCAGCAAGATCTCTTGGCCTTTTTTTCCCTGGAAACCCACCAGTGATGTTCAAGCCGTTTACAAAGAGCCCTCAGAGATGTTCTCTGAGGCAATCCCAGGAAGACTCCTAGAAGTAGAGGTAGGTAAGATGGGTATCCTTCCTATCTTCATTTGGAAGATCGTAAAATTGAAACTCAGAGAGACTGAGTGCTTTGCCCAAGGTCACACAGCTCGTCAGTGCTCGGGGGTTCAAATCTTGGCACTTTGACCCCAAAGCTTTCCGTGACTTCATGATGGAATGGGAGTGCACATTTGATGATAACATCAGACTCCCTCTATACTAGGCTGTTTGTCCCACTGTCCCTCCCTTAATTCCTGCAGTAGGTTCCTAACTGGTCTCCAGACCTCCAATAACCTCCTGCACAATAACTTTACAAGACCAAGTTCAGCAACATCCTGGTACTGTTAGCAGCTTTCAGCCTCTTCTCGTGCTCTGCCACTTGCCCCACAGAACTCTCTACCAAACAGGAAAGTTCCAGAGGTGTGGAGTGGAACCCAAAGCAGCCGTCTGCTTTGAATTCATTTGGAATCCCATGTTTTATCTTAAATTTTAATATGGACTTTTCATCACACTCAGTGTGCGCTTGTTGGTTTTGTTTTTTGTTTTTAACTTAGAAATGATTTTAATTGAAAAGACTTTCATTAAAAAGGACATCCTGGCCAGGTGCGATGGCCAAGGAGGCTGAGGCAGGAGGATGGCAAGTTCAAAGCCAGCCTCAACCATTTAGCAAGGCCCTGAGCAAGTAAGTGAGACTCTGTCCCTAAATAAAATATTTTAAAAGCTGGGGATGTGGCTCAGTGGTTAAGGGACCCTAGGTTAGATCCCTGGTACTGGAAAAAAAAATGGACATCCTCAAAGTCTGCCCATCTCTGTCCTCTGACTTTGGGTACTCCTCAGGGCACCTCCTTTGAGGACTCCTGGGACACATCCTAGTTCTCGAGGTATTGAGTCTCAGGTTTGGAACAAGTCCTCGGCCTGCCAGCTCTGCCTTCCTACCAGCCTCATCTCTGCCACTTGCCTCCAGGTCCCCCGGGGCAGCCATGAGGACCTGCCACACTCAGGGCTTGGCACAGACTGTCCCCCACCTCAGGCTTCTCCCCTCTACCTGGAGGCCCCCTGCAGGCTCCTGCCCCGAAGCCTCTGGATGTGGCTGTGGCTGCGTCCTCTGCTCCCCGTTCACGGTGGCACTCGACCCTTTGGAGCCTGGTCATTCGTGGACTTCTCTTTCCCCATTGAAGGAGGTCCCGTTGCTCACTGTCCCCAGGCCACACACACTGTCCCCACGGGGCAGGCTCTCAGAGGCGAGCCTCATCTCAGCTACTCACAGTGCACAGCTGACGAGAGCGTCCACATATTTTTAAACCTATGATGGGGCAGAGGTTTTCATGTGGGCCAGGGCCATGATCACATCTGATCTTGTCCTTCCATGCAGCAGACCAAGGAGCTACAGTTCACCTCGGCCCTGGTGGGGGGGAGGGTTATGGTGACGCCCAGACGTTGGACTTGGCAAGCCTGGGTCCCCTTGACCTCTTCTTGCTCCCTCTGTCTGACCTCAGCTCTCCCATCTGCAAAGGGGGCAAGAGTGGTGCTATTGAGAGGTGGGGGTCAAGGGCACAAGTACTAGAACTGACGGCCCAAACTACAGCCACGGACGAACTCCGGTGGCCGCCTGTTTTCGTGTGGCCTTTGAGTTAACATTGGTTTTTGTATCTGTAAATTTTTGTTTAAATCAAAAGAGTAGTGATATGTCATGACACATGAAATTTACATTTTGATTCTATAAATACATTTTTGGGGGGTATAGGCCTGCCTACTTGTTTACATATTGTCTGTCACTGTTTTTGAGCTACCAGGGCAGAGCTGAGTGGCTACCACAGGCACAGCCTGATGTCTACGACAGACCCTCTGTGGAAGAAATGGCTGACCCTCTGCCTGCGTTCAAATCCCAGCTCCGCCCATCGTGCCCTCCGTGACCTTGGGAAGATGAGGGGACATCTCTGCCAGCTTCCTCTGCTGGAAGAGGGCGGTGATGAAACCTACCTCAATGCATCTGATGAGATTAAAGTGCAGCAACACATCGAAGGCTGCCACCTCAGAGCTACCTTCCCAGAGGACCAGGGCAAGCCCAGGAGCACAGTGGGGTTGGCAGCAGTTACAGTGCCTACTGTGTGGGGGTCAGGAGCAATGGGACAGGGGAGGCTGAGACTGGAGCCGTGGGCCCATCTGTGTGAAAGCAGAAAGCAGGAGCCCAGGAGAATCTGACGGATCCCACTCCCAGGGATCAGTCAGGACCAGGCTGGTCGCTAAGTCAAGAGGTGCAAGTTGGCTTTAGACAGGAAGGACTCTCGAAACCAGAAGGGGCTGGGGACAGAGGACTCTGGAAGACTCCCCCTCAGTCCCAGGCAGCACTCCAGGCAGGGACCAGTTTAGAAAGACAGGCTTGTCGTCCTCCTTTTCCTGATGAGGAGACAGGAGCTCTGGGTGGTTAAAGGACTTGCACAAGAGAATTCCACTTGTCAATCACCAAATCCACAAAGCCACGCACCTGGACCTGGGCTTCTCCCTTGATCCACCCAGCCAGCCTTCCTACCCAGGTTCAAATCCTCCCCTGGTGGTTCTTAGGAACGACAGCACTAAGTTAAAGGGGAACATAACTCTGCGGTTATGTTTTTTGGTTTTTCCAAGAACAGAGAACAGTAATTAAAAAAAAAAATTGAGTTTCACTCCACTGTGTTTTCCCCTTTTGTACAGAATACTGTGTATTCTTTATTGCTGGGTGTCACAGGCTCAGGTTTTCAGCAAGGCCTGTAACCGGGGTCTTCAGCCTACAGGATCCATCCTCTCCGTGGCTCAGGGACAACTCTGCAAATGGCAAATTGCTTATGATTTGAGAGCAGCACAGATCCAAGATGCACTGAAAGACGCATTGAAAGGAGAAAGAGGGGGTGGTAGGCAGAGAAGAGGAAGCAACAAGTGACTCAAAAATCCAGGCCAAACACAAGCCCGGAGATCTCAATAGACACTTGATAAAAATACCTGCGTAGTGTCTGTGCGTCTTTGCAAGAAGGCTCTAGATCCTATTTATTATTCTGAACCACTGTGATTGCCAGGGAAGATGGCGCTCAGCAAGGCGGCCTCCAGGGAGGGAGGAGGGAGGTCCTGCTTTAGCGCCTAGTGACAGAGAATGTTTGAGCTGTGCCGTCCAAAGTGCAGATTCTTGTTTATTTGACAATTTTTCTCTCTTGGACGTTGTATTTAAACAAGTGTCTCCTTTTGGTCCAGTGTTTTTTCAAATTTATTTATAGAAGAACTTTTCCTTCCCTCTTCTAATCTGTTTTTCATATTTTGGTGAAAGGGATAATATATAAAATTTTACAAGGGTCTCGCTTTCCCTACGTTTCCTAAGCGTGGGCATCTGGTGTTCTCATTAAGACAGCGATATCCATTCACAGGCTCAACATGTCTTTAATTCATGCTAAGAGCCGTGCGGTCATGTGAAGAATACACTGTTTTCCCGTGTCTTTCAGAAATTTTCTTTTTCAAAAACCTTTCCAACATTCCTCTGTTCACTTCATTCTGCTCATAACAGAAATGGAAGTTTCTTCTTTCTGTCTTTTTTCCCCCAGATTGTAAGATACACAGATTGTTTTCTGGATTCTGCCCAAAGCATGCTTATTTAGGTTACAAGGGTTTCACTAGGACCTATCTAAATTTTAGGCTTTAGGGCTGAGCAGAGGGAGAGAGAAAGAGAGCAGAAAGAGCTGTACACAAAGAGTTTCTCATTACACATTGCAATGAGCCTCGAAATACTATATTCCTGCTGAGAGCACCTTGGGTTTTGTCGGGCTTTGGAAAACTCGAATTAGTTTATAATCTCCTGAAAATAATATAACCCAAAAGATTGGATCAAAACTCTATGTGGTGTCAATGATGCATTTAATTATGTGAGAGAGAGGTTTGGATAGGATGACTGGAAAACACACACACAAGCATGCGCGCACATACACACCCCATACGTGCACACACACTCACACCCCATATGTGCAAAATGTAATAATTTATCCATGAACCAAGATATTAATGACAATTTCAGAAATTTTACCAAGAGAAGTTTTGTCTATAAACTCTTTATGGCATTATTATTACTATTATTATTATAATAATTATAATGATAATAATGACTTACAATATAAATAATAGTTTAGACCAAAAATAGTGTAGTGATCATTTGATTAGGGTAGGGATGGTGCTCTCATGCAAGGCTTTGGGTAATTTGCATTTTTCTAATATGCTGGTACTATAAGTACTTGTAAGTTTCCTCTCAAGAGTTCCCAGCATGTTAGAGAGTCCCTTCTATATAGAAATCCACTTAAATTGACAAGCTGATGAATGACCTGCCCAGGTAATATAGATGACTGTGGGTAATCATATTGGGTGCAATGTATTTTAATGATGTCTAAACCGTCAGATGTTGGTACACCTAGTTGGGAAAGGTCTGTTGAAATTGAACCTGTTTGTTTTCTTCGAGCCCACTCTCAGTAATTTATGAGTCTGAATGTGGTCTGCAAGCTTGTGTTTCCTGTTATTTGTCCCCCCCTTGTGGGTTGGGGCTCTAATCCATTAGGCTGGCAAATGAGTTGCCTTGAATTTAAGTGGTTCCTGGAAGTTGTTTTCCTTAGTAGTTGTTTTCCTTAGTAGCAATCGGGTCCCCCAGAATCAGAGCAAATCGTTCATTCTTCTGATGCCTCTAAACTCCACGTAACTCCATGTAACTCCATGTCCCAGTCCTAGAAACCATCCTTGACAATTATTATCTAGTAATAGTCTAGCTACAGCAATTATGTGACGCAATGTAAAGTACATGGCATCACTTATATTGTTGTGTTTTAGCCCAAAGTGTATAACTGAGTCCATTCAGGCTTTAGATACAGTCAGCAGCTCACGGTAAATGCAGTGGGTAGAAGAACAAGCTAAATAGCACCACAAGGAAACAACCTGAAATCTAGATGAGAGGACATTCTGCAACAAGCCAGTGACATCAAAAGAAGATGTACAAGATGAAAAAGATGAGAAAGCCATAACAACTAAATGTGACGCATGATACTTATTTATAAGATTGAGCAAAGCCCTATAATGGACATCTTAGAGTCAGGGAAATTTAAATGTCATCTAACTTCTAGAATAAAGGGAAATTTACTAAAATAGATGAAAATTGTTAGACAAAATTAGATTACAAAAGAGAATGTATAGTATAATCTCATATTGACTAAAAAAGAAACACCTCTCCCTCTGCACACAAGCACACACGTGTTTATATGTGTGTTTACACATGTGCATGCATAACGGCCTGGAAGGATGTGCACATGTATGTAAAATGATAGCAGTGATTTTTGTAGGGACAGCATGTGCTCATGTCCTCTTGCTGCTGTGACAGATTACAACAAAGTGGATCCAAACAACACAGGCTTATTATCTCCCAGTTGTGGAAGTCAGAGGTCTTTTTTGTTGCGCTAAGCTCAAAAATCAAAAGAAGTGCTAAGAGAGCTTCTAAGGGCCACCTGCGCTCCTTGGCTCACAGCACCACATCACTGCATCCTCTGTTCCAACACCACACACATCACCTTTTATCACACATCTCCTTCTCAAACTCTGGCCTTCCTGCTTCCTCTCATAATGACCCTTGTGATTACATTTGGTCCACCAGACAATCCAGGATAACCTCTCATCTCAGGATTCTCAACTTGATCACGTTTTCACAATCCCTCAACCCTATAAGGAAACAAATTCACAGGTGCTGGGGATGAGAACGTAGACAACTTTGAGTGGGTGGGTGGTGTAATTGGGCACCACAGTGGAACTCGGCTTCTTTCTGCAGTGTTGCCCCTCTCTGCTCTCTGATTTTATACAGAAAATGGTGTTATTGCTCATTTGATTAGGGTAGGGATGGTGCCCTCACACAAGGCTTTGGATAATTTGTATTTTTCTACTATGCTGGTACTATATACTTATAAATTTCCTCTCAAGAGTTTCCAGCATGTTAGGGGGTCCCTTCTATATAGAAATCCACTTAAATTGACAAGCTGATGAATGACCTGCCCAGGTAATATAGATGACTGTGGGTAATCATATTGGGTGCAGTGTATTTTAAAGATGTCTAAACTGGTTCTTTAACATTAAAAGCACAGTGGTATGTTTTTCTTCCTGCTTGGGAATGCTACATTTCCCCATTGATGAGCCTCAACTTGCAGAGGACGAAGAGGACTGTCCCCCAGAGGATGGCCCAACTCCCCTGGGGAAGGAGCACACGTGGGAGGTGCAGGTGATCCCTCCAGATCTAGGATCCAGACTTGCCCACATCTGGCCCTTCCAACCCCATCAAGAGCAGTGCCAGACAGCATCACTCTATGAGTCCCTCCCATGTGCCACGTCCTGTGTAAACTTTATCTTATCCTCAAAATATGCATTTGGGGCCCTATTTTGCAGATGAAGGCCTTGCATATCAGACACTCTAAGGAACTTACCCAGGGCCATCATTACATTGTTACAGAGTGAATTTTTGAACCCAGAGCCTGAACTCTCAAGTTCTACTACAACTTCTTCCTAGAGAGACCTGGAATGCTCAAAGCATTTCTCCTTAACCATAGGCAGAGTCTTCCTCTCCTGGAGCTAAAATGCAGAGAGTTCAAGCTGTTAAGAGGCCTTTACAGTCACCAAATATGAGCTTCTCACTATCCCTGAGAGCAAACTAAAGCCCAAGTCACACAGCTAAGTCAGTGTCAGGGCCAGGATGGGACTCCTGGCTCCCTGCCTGCCCCGAGCTCTGTCTACTAAAATATGGGCCTCCATTTCTATCTCTCCTACTTCATTTTTTATTCTTCTGGGTGCTAGAAATATAGTCCTTTGTCCCAATATAAAATAGAAATGAGTTGTTTGAGATTGTGTTGATGCTTAGGACGGGGACACTAAGGTCACAGCTCCAGGGGAAGCAGCGCAAGATGAGCCTCACCTTGGATGACTTCCACAGGGACCCAGATGAAGGTAAAGCAATGTTCACAGAGGGGCTGGATCCTGGTGGCCATACTGGTCCTGGTCCATCCTACTCCAAGGAAGGCCCAGGGAATTCCCTGGAGACACAGCGTCCCCTGCCCATGGATTACAGGTCACTTCAGCCTCATATTTCATCCCTTCCAACCTGAAGAAGCCCCATGGGCAGGTAACTTAGCACCTGGACAGGGCAAGGGCCTGGGCTTTAGTCGTGCGTTTGCTGGGTTTGGTTGACTCTAGTTCATTTTGCCAGATGTGTGGCACAAACCCAGAGTTTGTGTGGGCCGTGACTTCCTTGGTGTAAAGCCACCCACTGGGGTAAGAGGAGACAGCCCTTCAGCCGTATGCAGTGCCTACTCAGGTTCTGATCTAAGCCTCAGCCTTGCTCAGGCCTTTGGTAGGAATCTCTGAAGTGCACTATCCCCGACAGCCTCCCACTGGTCCCTCCCGCCTCCCTCCCCCCATGCCAACCCATTCAAGGCCAGAGCATCATCCTGAAGTCCAACTCCAAGAGGCTCTCCTTCAAAACTGGCTCAACAGCTCCCTCTTGCCCCCAGAATGAAATGACAGCTTCTCCATGATCCCAGCATAAGACCCTCACAACAGCTGGGCTCATTTATCCCCCAGGCTACCTGTTGCCCTTGCCCAGTGATGTCCACACTGCCAAGTTCCTGCAACAGCCTCAATGTGACTTCTGAGGCTCCCAGCCCTGTGGTGGTATTCCAGATCCTGACCATATCTGACTCAAGAGCCTCAGGGCCAGTGCCCAGCCACTGAGCATCACCAGAGTCTGTACCACACCAACACCACAGGCTCCCCAGTCTCCCAAGACTATTAAACCGTG